CGGGGGGGGAGGGAATCAGGATTTGAGCTTCTTGTGGCTCCGATTTCTCCCGTTGTGTTTTTTTCTGCTCGTTTTTTAATTGCGGGGAGAAAAGTTTGAAACTCCCTTTTGTCTTTTCCGTATCGGAGAGCTCGTTTCCCATTTTTGAAGGTAAAAAGGGGGGATTGGGTACTCACTCGCTATCCCCCAGGCGCTCCAAGCACCGCTCAGGTCCTGAAGCGGGGTCACAGCTGCGGGGCGGGGGGTCCCAGCGGGCGTGACGTCTCTGTGTTGGGCGCCGGCTGTCCCGGGACCGGTGTCCCACGTAGCTGGACGGAGGGGACTGTGTGAACGGGCCCTTCACGAAATGGCTGGAGTGAGTGAGGTCTTAGGGGCAGACTGAGCTCCGGAAACGCAATCCGCCAGTAGCTCCAGTGAACAGAGACCTTTCTTAATGTAAGAAGGGTGGATTCTGCCCCACGTTGGGCGCCATCTCTAGCAGGTTTTGGGGGGGACCTGCGGGAAGACCTCCGGGCGCATTTTGCATTGGGGGACGGGCACACACACACGAGAGATGTGACCCACAAAATGGCAGTTTATTAACCAAGAAGACAGTCGCGCCTGGGGTGGGGTCCTGACCTTCGATGGATTTCACAGCCGAGGGATAGAAGTCCCATCGGGGTCGCCAAATTGATGCCGAAAAAAAAGCAGATAAAAACTGTTTAGACAGAGTTTTATGCCTAGAACAGCAAGGTATTTATTGATTAACGGCCGGGCAGCCTGCCAGCTCGTGCTGGGAAAAACAGGTTCCCAGTTGGTTGGGTTAGAGTGAGTATTTTATACAGGTTTGGCAATGATTACAACGTAGATTACAATATTCATAACAGGTGGAGTTAGGGGCGGAGATTGAGGCGTGGTTTCCATTTTGAGGAATATTATGGTGGGAGATCCTGTTTGCCTTCATCCTGGGGGTTGCTTTTTTAATCCTCATCCTCACCTGACCTCGGGGACCTTTCGTTCTTTCTGTTGTTTCTGTGTTCTGATCACTGAGGCTTCAAGAAAGCCTTGGCTTGGGGCCTGTAACACCTATTGAGATGTCACCTTGGCTCCTCTGGATGAGATTTATGGGCGCTGGGTTCTTTGTTCTGTGTATCTGTAAATATTTTAGGTCTGCAGAACTTGTACAGAACAAGATCTCCTTTGAGCAAGGTAGAGAAATGGGGGGAGAACAGTGGGCCCCTGCAGCGAGATGCTTCAGTTAACCCTCCTTCCTTCACCTGCAGAGGTCTGTAAGGCTGGGGCTGGTCTGACCCCTTGTAGCTCTCAGGCAATTCCGGGCAGCTGTTGTTGCTAGAAACTCTGTTCTCTGCAGGCTTCGGCTGGTCCCACCTCCTACAGTGTCCCACATGCAGGAGGCCGCAGACAGTTTGTCCCCTATCCCATATCCCATATTCCATGTCCCCACAGGTGTCCCAGGTGCAGGAGGCCATAGCCAGTCTGTCCCATGTCCCTTGTGTCCCCCATGTCCCCACAGGTGTCCCAGGTGCAGGAGGCCACAGCCAGTCTGTCCCCTATCCCATATCCCATATTCCATGTCCCCACAGGTGTCCCAGGTGCAGGAGGCCACAGCCAGTCTGTCCCCTATCCCATATCCCATATTCCATGTCCCCACAGGTGTCCCAGGTGCAGGAGGCCATAGCCAGTCTGTCCCATGTCCCCCATGTCCCCACAGGTGTCCCAGGTGCAGGAGGCCGCCGCCCGCCTGACCGAGGCCTACGCTGGGCCACGTGCGGAGGAGCTGCGGGCGCAGGAGGGTTTGGTGAGCGCGGCCTGGGCCGAGCTCCGCGGGCGCTGCCAGCGCCGCCGCCGCCTCCTCGGGGACACCGTGGAGCAGTTCCGGTTCCTCCGCGCCGCCCGCGACCTCCGGCTCTGGATGGACGGGATGCACCTGCAGCTGCAGGCCCGGGAGCGCCCCAGGTGAGCTGGGATGGCTTTGGGGACACCGGGGGGACACCCCAAGGACGGCCCAGGGACACCGCGGTGACCCCGGCACGGGGGTGGTGACTGTGGCCAACCCACTGGCCCAGCCCTCCCCCCCACCCCGGGCTCACCTGAGCCCAGGTGGAGGTGCAGGCCGGGGTCACGTGGGGTCAGGGGGGGTCACATGGGGTCACACAGCGGTGGCACCGTCCTTGTCCCTGTCCCTGTCCCTGTCCCTGTCCCAGGGATGTGACAGCGGCCAAGCTGCTGATCCAGCAGCACCAGGGGCTCCATGGGGGGGTTGCTGAGGGCTGGGGTCACTCAGGGTCACTCAGGGTGACCCCCCATGCCCCTGTCCCTGTCCCAGGGATGTGACAGCAGCCGAGCTGCTGATCCAGCAGCACCAGGGGCTCCGGGCCGAGCTGGACGCGCGCGGCGGCTCCTTCGAGTCGTGCGTGGCTGCGGGGACGGCGCTGCTGCAGCGCGGCCACCACGAGGCCGACAAGGTACCCCGGGACACCCCGTGCCCCCTGTGCCCTCTGTGCCCTCTGTCCCCATGTCCCCCCGGCCCCCCTGACCCCGATTCTCCCCCCAGCTGTCCCAGGAACTGGCCGAGCTGCAGGAGCGGCGCCGGGACATCGGGAAGCGCTGGCAGGACAAGCTGGACTGGTTGCAGACCGGTGAGATGGGGGGGGGGGTACCCTGCACCCCCCAGGACCCCCCGGGACCCCCCAGAACCCCCCATAACCACCTGTGTCCCCCTGGGACCCCCCTGTGCTCCCCCAGTGCCGGAGGTGTTTGGGTGTGACACCCCCAAGGCCTGGGGGTGCGGATTGGGGGATCTCCGTGCCCCAAGGGGGGGTCAGGGGTCACAGATGGGGGTCAGGGGTCACAGATGGGGGTCAGGGGTGACACATGGAGGGTCAGGGGTCACAGATGGGGGTCAGGGGTGACACATGGAGGGTCAGGGGTCCCAGATGGGGGCCAGGGGTGACACATGGAGGGTCAGGGGTCCCAGATGGGGGTCAGGGGTGACACATGGAGGGTCAGGGGTGACACATGGAGGGTCCCAGCCCCCTGTGACCCCCCTGTCCCCGCAGTGCTGGAGGTGCTGGTGTTTGGCCGCGATGCTGCCATGGCTGAGG